GGGGAGATCGGTGGGGGGGTCCCCTCTTGGCCAGGGGAGGGGTCCCCTGGCTGGGCTATGGGGGGAATTGGTGGGAGGTCCCCCGGCTGGGCTATGTGGGAGATCGGTGGGGGGTCCCCTATTGGCCAGGGGAGGGGTCCCCCTGGCTGGGCTATGGGGGTGGCACGGGTGGGGGTTCCCTTGGCGGCAGCATGAGGCTTCCCCTCTGCAATGTCCTCTCTTGTTCCATTTGGGGGGATGGCCTGGACCTTCGAGGTGCTGGGGGTGCCCATGCTCTGCCCCCACAGGGGTCTAACCCTGCCCCCTGCCCACAGGGCCATGCTGCCCCCTTGCTCTATGCCGCCTGGGCTGAGGCCGGCTTCCTCAAGGAGCCGGAGCTGCTGAATCTGCGCAAGATCGACAGTGACCTGGAGGGACACCCCACCCCGGTGAGTGTGGGGGTCCCTGGGATACCAGCCTCCCTCCCCCTCCCCACCCCGAATGACAGCCTGCCACCCCTCTCTGCTCCCTGTGGGGTGGAAAGCCACAGGGCCCATCCGAGCTGGGGACCCACCACTGGGAATGAGGGCAGCTGGGGGACGCTGCACCTTGTCCTTGGGGTGCCCCAGTGGGGGGGCAGGGACTGTGGGGGTCTCCCCCAGTGCTCTCTGCTGTCACGTGGCCCCTCTCTCCACTAGAGGCTGCCCTTCGTGGATGTGGCCACGGGCTCACTGGGGCAGGGCCTGGGCGCGGCCTGCGGGATGGCCTACGTAGGCAAGTACTTCGACAAGGCCAGGTGAGTGCCTGGGGGGCTCCCCCAGCCTGGGATAGGTGGCTGGGGAGAACTGGGTGGCAATGTGGGGAGGGGGAACTGGGGTTGGGAAGCTGAGGGAGGCGTGGCCTGGTTGTGACCCCCTCCTTTCTGGGGCTGTGTGGAGGTCTGGGGAGGCGCGGCCTGGCCGTGAGCCCGCCCGCTCCGAGCCGGGGGGGCGCTCGGGGAGGCGCGGCCTGGCCGTGAGCCCGCCCGCTCTGAGCCGGGGGGGGGGGGGGGGGGGGGGGGGCGTGGCCGTGAGCCCGCCCGTTCCGAGCCGGGGGGCGCTCGGGGAGGCGTGGCCTGGCCGTGACCCTGCCCCTCTGGCCAGTTATCGGGTGTTCTGCCTGCTGGGTGACGGGGAGGTGTCGGAGGGCTCCGTCTGGGAGGCTCTGGCCTTCGGCTCCCACTACCAGCTCGACAACCTGGTGGCCATCGTGGACGTCAACCGGCTGGGCCAGAGCGAGGCGACGCCGCTGTGCCACGACATGGAGGTGTACCGCCGCCGCTGCGAGGCCTTTGGGTGAGTGCCATGGGGGCCGGGGGCCGGGGCCCCGGGTGGGGTGGGCGGCCCTGGGGCTGGCTAACCCCTCCCTCCCCGGCAGGTGGAACACCTACGTGGTGGACGGCCACGCCGTGGAGGAGCTGGACGAGGCCCTGCGGCAGGCGGCTCAGGTGAAGGGGAAGCCCACGGCCATCGTGGCCAAGACCTACAAGGGACGAGGCATCCCTGGTGAGTGCCCCCCTGGGCTCTGAGTGCTGCAGGCCGTGGCCTGGGGCCCCACGGCTGGCTCCTGGTGGGAGGGAGGGCCATGCTGGGGGGGAGGGCGTTCAGTGGCTCTTTCTCCCCTTCTGACAGCTATTGTGGGGTGCGACAGAGTAGGGACCTCAGGAGAGCTGAGGGTGAGGCCTCCTCTTCCAGAGCCAGGGAGAGAACCCAGGAGTCCTGGCTCCCAGCCCCCCCCGCTCTAACCACCAGCCCCCACTCCCCTCCCAGAGCTGGGGAGAGAACCCAGGAGTCCTGGCTCCCAGCCCCCCCTGCTCTAACCACCAGACCCCCCTCCCCTCCCTGAGCCGGGGGAGAACCTAGGCGTCCTGTCTCACTTCTGCTCGCTGCCTGGGGGTGGTTCGATGCCAGGTGTGGAGGACGCGGAGAACTGGCACGGCAAGCCCATGCCCAAGGACAAGGTGGAGTCCATCATCGGTGCCATCCAGAGCCGGATCCAGACCCACCAGGTGCTGGTGCCACAGGCCCCCATTGAGGACGTCCCACAGATCAGCATCGCCGGCATCTGCATGCCCTCGCCGCCCGAATACACCATTGGGGACAAGGTGGGGAAAGGGGAGCGGGCGGACTGACCTGGGAATGTTGCAGGGGAGTGACATTGGGGATGAGAAGGAAGCTACCTGAGCCAGGAGGGGGGTTGGGAGAAGTGACACCTTCTGCCTGGGAGACGGGACAAAGGAGAGGAGGAGCTGGGGGGAGGGGGGAGAGCTGCTGGAGGGTTTGGGTAGTTTCAGTTTGGTCTGGATGGTGCAATGCAGGGAACCCCAAGCTGGGGTCTAAGCTCCCTGAACCCCCCAGAAGGACTTGATTGAGGGGTTCTGGTTGTACCTACACGCTCTGCTTGGGACTGTGTTCCTGTCATCTAATAAACCTTCTGTTACTGGCTGGCTGAGAGTCCCGGGGAATCGCAGGAAGAGGGGTGCAGGGCCCTGACTCCCCCACACTCCGTGACAGGAGCCCAGGGCTGGGGTGGCAGGGGGCTAGGGGAAGGGGGTCTGGACTGACTGGTGGCTGGCTCCGGGGGAGGGAAATGGTGGCTGTGGGGCCAGGACCGTGACACTCCTCTGCCCTGCAGGTGGCCACGCGGAAGGCCTATGGTGTGGCCCTGGCAAAGCTGGGTGCTGCCAACGAGCGCGTGGTGGCCTTGGACGGCGACACCAAGAACTCCACCTTTTCCGAGCTGTTCAAGCAGGTGCACCCCGAGCGCTACATCGAGTGCTACATCGCCGAGCAGAACATGGTCAGTGCTGGGGGCTGTGTGTGGGGCAGGGGGCTTCTCTGGGGCCAGCTCTCACGCACTCTCCCCCCAGGTCAGCGTGGCTCTGGGCTGTGCCGCCAGGGACCGGGCCGTGGTCTTCGCCAGCACCTTTGCTGCTTTCTTCACCCGGGCCTTCGACCACATCCGCATGGGCGCCATCTCCCGGACCAACCTCAACCTGTGCGGCTCCCACTGCGGGGTCTCCATCGGTAGGCACGGGGGGGACGCTGGGCTGCCCTGTGACCCCCCCCCCCGGGCCCTGGCGCCTTGGCCCCGTTGCCAGAGGGCCACGTGCAGATTGGTGGCAGGGCTGGGAGCAGACCCCAGGCGTCGGGGCTCCTGGAGGCTGCGTGGCCTGGGGAGTGGGCTGCTGGCCCCCCGCGCTGCCGAGCGAGCCTGCTCTCTAGCCCGGCACCTCTTGTGGCTCCCCGCAGGGGAGGACGGCCCCTCGCAGATGGCCCTGGAGGACATAGCCATGTTCCGAACCATTCCCGGCTGCACTGTCTTCTACCCCAGCGACGCGGTCTCCACGGAGCGCGCCGTCTGCCTGGCTGCCAACACCAAGGTAACCGCTCTGGGGGGCTCCTTGTGCTGCTGCCTCAGGAGTGGGGTCTGTGGGGCATCCTCAGGGGCCAGCTGTGGGGTCTGGATGGCACCGATGGTGGACTCCACCTTGTCCTTGGGCCTGGCCGTGCCAGTTCTCTGCATCCTCCATTCGCCTGCTCCCGAGAGAGACTCATGGGTTCTCTCCCTGGCTTGGGGAGGGGAGGGGGTCTGGTGGGTCAGAGCAGGGGGGGCTGGGAGCCAGGACTCCTGGGTTCTCTCCCTGGCTC